TCACACCCAGCTTCACCAGAAACTTGAGACGAATTGTCCCAGCAAGAAAGAGCTTCGGGACAAAGAAGAAAAAAATCTTTAGGGGGATGGGAGCAGGAGAGCTGCTGACATTGTTGTTTATTTTATGTTATAAAGTCCAAGTCTGTATCATTTCTTTTGGTTTGTTTTGGAAGTCAACTTCTTGATAACAAAATGGTTCTTGTATCACAAGACTACTGTCTATGATGAAATTACTTAAAAAAAATCACCACTTAAAAACCCATTATGTTTATCTGAAGGCTATTTAAAAACTTACAATCTAACTTAAATGGCCAACTCTAATCCTGGTTGAGTAAACTATGGGCATGCATGTAATCAAATGCTTCAGCACCATTAAAATCATGTTTATAATGAGTTCCTCAAGGCCTAGGAAAATGTTTATGCTGTAATGCTATGTGTAGAAGGCTGGATGGCGCATTGCGTGTGACTACACAGAAATAAACACAATAAAAACTGTGTCTGGAAAATAATCCAGCGGGGAATCCATCAAAATATTAATATGGTGATCACCTCTGATTGCTGAAACTATACGAGGTTGGTTTGTTGTTGTAGTTGTTGTTGTTGTTGGTGGTGGTTTGTTTGTTTGTCAAGACAGGGTTTCTCTGTGTAGCCCTGGCTGTCCTGGAACTTACTCTGTAGACCAGGCTGGCCTTGAACTCAGAGATCCACCTGCCTCTGCCTCCCAAGTACCGGGATTAAAGGCGTGTGCCACCACCGCCCAGCTCAGGGTATGTTTTTTAAAAACCCTCTTTTAGTTATTCTGTTTTCCAGATTGCCAGTATGTTTTCACTTTGATCATCTTCCTGTTTTATTGATATTACTCCGTCATTGAAAGGAGCCCATCATCCCTCTTGGGAGAACTTGTGTCTTATGCTTCCCCTTCTCCAGAACTTGTGATTGAGCCCAGAGTGTGTGGAACAAGCCATCTGCCACTAAGCTGCCTTCACACCCTTTTAAGTGACTTTTTTTTTTTTTTTTAATCTTGAGACTGTCTCTAGTTAAGCTGCCCAGACAAGCCTTGAATTTGTGATTCTTCTGCCATGGTTGGGATTGCAAGTGCCCAGCATCACACCCAGGTGGACTTTACTTTATTTAGTCTGGACTCAAGCATTCTGTGTTTGAAAAGCAATGGTATCTTCCAAGACAAACGGTAGTGAGTCACATGATTGCTACATGACCTCTAGATGTAAAAACACAACCCCAATCCCAAACAACCCTTCCCCCTAATCTGGACATCCCATTCTTTCTCCAAACCGAGCGTAAGGGGTATGGACCCGTTTTATAAAGCCAAGCTGGCAAGAGACTTGAGGCTGTGGAGAATCAGAAGATTCACACACTTTCATTTTTTGTGGAAGTCCCTTGGCTGCAGGAAGAGGCCGCATTTAGAGCTGAGTGTGGGAGGGAAGGACTGTTCTTCCCTCCTGCCTCCGATTTCCTGCACTGCTTGCATTCTTCAAGATTCTTCCCTGCCTTTATCTCTTCCAGGATGCCTTCCCTGAACCCTGGGCTGGAGAAAATGTCCTCCCCACTTCCTCAACACCCCAGGCAGAACTCCCTCCCTGGACTTCCATGACCTCGTCTCTCAGCCAGACTGCAAGAGAGACCATTTTTTTTTTTATAAAAAAAAAAAAAAAAATTATTTATGGTGCTTTTCATAACACCCAGAAAAAGTCCCTGGCAGATAGTAGGTGCTGAATAAATGTTTGTTAGATGAACTGAATAATTCTCCAAAAGTGTGAGAGAAATTGTATTAATTTCCCAGGCTGCCATAACATAGCAGCACAAGCTGATAATTCAGCAAAAAAAAAAAAAAAAAAAAAAAAAAAGTTTTTCTTATAAATCTTGAGTCTAGGAGTCCAAAAATAAGGTGTTGGTGAAGTTGGATCCTTGTGGAGGGACCTGAGGAAGGGGTTAGCCCATGCATTTCCCATGCATTTCCCAACTTCCGGCTGCTGGCAATCCTGGAACTTCTTTGGCTTGCAGCTATACGTATGTCCTCCAGCTCCATCTTCACAGGGCATTCTCCCTTGAGAGTCTTTTGCACCTCCTTCCTGGGTCCATGTGTGTGCGGACATCAGTTACATTGGATTTAGGGCTCACCTTAACCTAGTTAGACCCTGTCTTAACCTGATTATATCAACCAAGACCCTGTTTACAAATTAGTTTCATTCACAGATTCAGATCAGGACCTGAGCATATCTTCAAGGAGGTCCCACAATCCAACACAAAACAGACACTTTCGCCTCCGTCAATAGCCTATATGTAGTATTCCAGCATGTAAAGTGGTGATGCCTAGTGCTAATGCCTAGCATGACGTCATCACAGGGCAGAGAAGTCACCGGAGCACAGGCAACCCTGTGTGGCCAGATGCAGGAGGCTGGCTCAACATGTGTCCATTAGGCACAAGTGGGTAGCAGCTTGGTGAGTCAAGCAGGTGGACACAAGAAAGGAATGAATTGAGTTTCAGAAACTGGGCAACACTGGCGAGCACGGGACACGGGAACCTGGATTGACTGGAGCAGAAGAGGAGTTTGATGATGGAGTCCAAACAACTTTCACCTTGTCCCAGGCATGGTGGTTTGCCCTGACCCCAGATCCATGGCGTCGGGGACTCCGTCACTCGGTGGAGCCACTAAGAGAAAAGGTTTTGAATTATAAAAGAATTAATGACCAGTGCTAGAGAGATGGCTCAGTGGTTAAGAGCATGGGCTGCTTTTCCAGAGGACCCGGGTTCAGTTCCCAGCAACCACACAGTGGCTCACGGCTGTCTGTAACTCCAGTTCCAGGGGACCTGACGCCCTCGCCCAGGCATACATGAAGGCAAAACACCAATGCACATAAAATAAAAATAAACAAATTTTTTAAAAAAGCAAAACTCAACAATGACAATAACAACAAACTGTGTTAGCTTTGACAGGATCTGCAAAACCCACAAATACACAATTTTCCTGATCATGCATTTTAATTTCTGATAAAACCCAAACACATTAATTCTACCAAGTCAGTTTCATATACAACATATGGATCTGTGGGTAGAAGAGTAAGAAGGAAGGCGGCTGTTTTTCTTTGAAACTAGAATTTTTAAAATGATTAATTTATATATAAAATCTCTTTCTATGTACGCATGCGTGCATGTGTGAGTGAGTGTGTGTGTGTGCTACAGAATACCCCGAGTGTGGCAGTCAGAGGACAACTTTTGGGAAGAGTTTCTTTCTTTCCACTGTGTGGATTCAAGGGATTGAACTCAGCTCATCAGTCTTGTGGTAGGTGCCTTGATCTGCTGAGTCATCTCAAGTCTGAAATGCTTATTATACTATGCAATGGTGTTATGTAGAAATTTCTTCCTAGATAAAATTTCCCACCTTGGAGGAAAGGTAGTTAGAACACAGGATGTCCTAAGAGAGGTAAAACATTCGTCTGTAGGGATCTCTTAAGCTTGGGAAGAAAACAACTCACCTCAGGAAGTTCCTGAAACTGAGCAGATTGACTAGGTCCCTCCCTCTCTAGTAAGGACTGCTGAGAAATATTTTTCAGGTAGCTGACTAGTAGAGGCAGAGAGACCTGCTAAGAACCAGAGACCAGCCAAGCTACCTGAAAAGGCAGACACTGACTGAGCTGTCTGGAAGAGGCTCAGACCAACTGAACTGCCTGGAAGGTGTGCAGACACTTACAGTTTCCAGCTCTTGTGAGCTATTACCCATGTTGGGATGAGCTCACAGTGACGCAACTGTCTTTGAATCATTTCTGCTCCTGTAAGTAACCCCTATCACATACTCCTATAAGTAAACCCAATAAAACCTGTTGGCTGAAGTTGAACTGGTGGTATCCTTACTTTGATCCATTGTCAGTTTCCTATTTGGGATGAATTTACTTACATATGCCCAGAAATAGTATCATACAACCTGAGAAGGGTAATTAATAGTAACATAATTCGGTAAAGGAATGCACCAATGTCGACTAGTAGCCATAAGCTATTCCTTCAAGAGAGGCACTTTTCCTGATGTCTCAAATGAACAGCTCATTGCCAAGCTGGAGAAGAATATCAGACAGGAGCTTACTGTTTCTGCCGTAAGAAATTACATTCTATGCTTGTGAGCGTTCCTATGAACCACTTGTTTAAGCATGCCAAGCATGTGGGGGTTTTTAGATTTAAATATCAGAGGGTGAAAAAGCAAATTAACGAGTTGAAATGGCCTTGCTTTGATTGGGACCACATCACCGAGTTCAGCTGACTTGAAATAAACATTGTAAGCGAACGTGCAGGAAGGCTGGTCCTCAGGAAGGGAGCTGGGGAGCTGGGGAGCTGGGATGGCTATGCGTTAACATTCCAGGGATGGCTGTTTACTTCCCAGCCTTCTCATCAAGGGGTTAGGAATTTAAAAGATAAGAACTTCATCAATCCCACCACGGTTTTCACTCTTTCCATGGATGCCTTGGTTCTGTTCTATTAGCTAGGCATATCTTTTGCAACCCAGGCCAAAATAAAATAAAATAAATAAAAATATTTGTCCTACTGAAGGAGCTGGACTTGACTGTGAGATGGGCTGAGCATTCCAGCCACAAGAATAAGGAACACTCCAGAAGTTTTCTTCTTGAGCAAGAGTTCAAGCAAAGTTGATACTGACTTAGCAGCTGGCTTCCAGCGAAAGCTGCAGCACCCTTTTATTTGAAGTATTAACTTACTTGACCCCCAGTTTGTACAGGAAACTGGCTAAGGAAGAGGGGAGGCAACGTGGAAAACAGATTTTAAAAATCTGGTTTTGAGCCGGGCGGTGGTGGCGCACGCCTTTAATCCCAGCACTCGGGAGGCAGAGGCAGGCGGATCGCTGTGAGTTCGAGGCCAGCCTGGGCTACCAAGTGAGCTCCAGGAAAGGCGCAAAACTACGCAGAGAAACCCTGTCTCGAAAAAAACCAAAAAAAAAAAAAAAAAAAAAAAAAAAAAATCTGGTTTTGAACTATGCCGGGCACGCTAAAGCATTTAATGCTTTCAAACTTGGCAGTTAGAGACGAGGGTGGATTGAAATAGAGATGACCAGCTGGCTAATTGCGTGTTGCCAACATTCCCCTCCAGCTCCTTTCTGGATGAGTCCTGTTTGTGTCAAAGGCTGACTCTGTCCTCCGTCCTCTATCGTGGCCAAGAAATGGGATGCTATGTGTTTGACTCAGGATGTCCTTGTGGAACCCAATGCAACAAAGGCCACTTCACTGTCTTGATGAGTGCCCTGGGCTGGGCAGGTGGTGCTGGAGAGAAGCCTGTGATGTTGAAGAACAGGCCGGACATCGTGAACCATGAAGATTCCAGCTCACTGTTCTCCAAAGCTGAAGGCTGTGGTATAAATCCAAGACAAGGTTTTTAGCACCAAGGCAGAAACCAAGTACTGCAAACCCAATCTGCCGTTAGCCCCAGGGAGTCTTGTGGGTAAACTGAGGATTGAGGTAACCAGAGATGATGACTGCAATGGATGTGGCCTCCTCTCATTGGGCAATAAAAAAACAGACAGACAGACGGACTGACTGACTGACTAACGAATGAACAAACCAACCTGTGTGGTGGGTTACTTTAGAAAGGAGCAGTTGGTGGAGCTTTGAAGACAGCAGAGGGGAGAATAAGAGCATGAGCTAGATGTCCCAGTCAAGTTCCTTCAGGATCCCATCCAAGAGGTGAATTCTAGAGGAAACTGATAACGCAAATGTCTCCAAGCAGGAATTATTATATGATGTAAATCTGAGAGATACGGTGGGGATTGTGTCCAGCTGCAGGGCATGAATCCACGTGAAGACATCTAAATAACCATTTTTTAAAAAGGTAAAAACCCTGGGCTGACCAAACAGAACAGATTTATACACTGTTTTACCCAAGAGCTACCAATTTGTGCCTGCTGTCTACTAAATGAGCAAGATTGAAAGTCTGAATTTTAGTGTTCTATTACTCTGTTAAAAGTGGTTTATTAATCCTTTTCACACAACAGGAAGTTATTGTTTAATTTTTCTTCCCTAATAAAAGAATGTAAGGCTCTCCCTGTCTCCCACCCTCTGTGTGTATACTATGTAAGTGTGCATACACTTGAGTTTTGTGGAGGGCCAGAGTTTCAGAAGTTTTATTTTTATTTGGGGAGTGGGTAGGGATGCTCACTGACCTGGAGCTTGCAAAGTAGGTGAGGCTGGCCGGTCAGGGAGCCCCAGGGATCTGTCTGTCTCCCCCTGGGCTTACAAACACATGACGTCAGGGGGTCCACATGTTTGCAAGGCAAGCGCTTTCCCAACTGAGCTATCTCCCCGGCTCTCCCCCATCCTTTTTCTGTTGCTATGAAATGAATGAAGGACACTCTCTTGGAAGGAAGATGTTCATCTTTGAAGGTTATCGGGGACCTGTCCCTTGCTTCCGAGGGTAAACACTCAAGTTTCCCTTTCAACCTCAGGGGTTATCAGCACACCCAATGGGAGTCTCTGAATCCCAAGAGTTCTGAACCCCCTACTACATTTTCCCCAAACCCCAGCGGCTCCAAGAAGGAAGCAAACCAACATTAGTGGTGAATTTTAAGTCAGTTTTGTGAATAGGGCCGGAAGCTTTTGTTGACCAGAAGGAGAGATTAGTTTGCTGCATTGTGTAAATAAATTAAAATAAATTCCTCTCTGTGAGGGTGCCCCCATGGGGAAAGCTGCATGGTTAAGGCTGAGATAGTATTTAGGCAAAGTTGCTACTGCTTTTGAAATCCTCTAGAGACTTATTTTTTAGAACTCTTACTTGAGAATTCTCCCCAGACTCCTCAATAGGACTATTATTTTAAAATAGCTTCGATGCGCATAGGTATTCCTGAGCATGTCTGAGACTAAATAAACATTGTGGGAGATCTGTGTTCCCAGCCTTAGCCTTAACCTTGCAACCACGGCCGAGCTTCTCAGAATCGGCTGCGGTCGGGCTGGGTTTTCTGGGCCCATCGTCCCTCTGGGCAGACCACAGTCTTTTGGATCCACTGCCACAGTGAGATGTAAACAACCATACCGCAGAATGCCAGAGCAAAAGTAACATCAACAAACAGCCACTTACTGTGTGTCGAGCAGAGCCTTGCATGATGGTGGGTCAGAAACAGGCATCAGGCTGGTGGCGTCAAGAAGAGCTTGTGAGTCTAACTGGAGTAGAAGGTTAAAAAGCAGACCAGAGACAGATCAGAGGAATCTGTAAGCTAAGCTCAAGGAGGGGTTCTGGGCATCCTTTCAGAGATAAGGAGCCCTTGAAGCTTTGGAGCAAGGAATCTGTAGGAAGACCTTTCATAACGTTTAACTACAAAGTAGCTCCAAATAGGAAGAGTTTCCAGTTAGAAATTGACGAAGAAACCCAGAGTTAAACTGTCCATGGAATTCGGAGTTACATTGGGACAAAGAGTTCTGATGAGGAAGGACTGACATTAACCCCGTGTTTCCCAGGTTCCGTCTTTGCCGGTGCTTCCCATCAGCTAATATTTACAATAACACAATGAGGTGGATGTCACGAATGCCACCCTCTTTCAGAGAAGGAGACTGAGGCACGGGGCAGTAAAGAAAGTGCTCAGCCATATCAGGTTAGGATGGCGGACCGGGAGACGGAGGAACAGTGGGGACCAGTTATTTCCCTCATTGCTCTGACGGAGTCTACAACAGAAAGGATTTATTGTTCAGGATCATATTTAGGGGACCGAGTCCATCGTGGCCGGGAAGGTGAGGGAGAGAGCAGGGCTGTGAGGTGGTAGCCACAATGTCTCAGCAGTCTGGATGCAGAGAAAACTTTGGTCGTAACTGGGGCTGAGTTATATAATACATTAGTTCCCCGCCCCCCCCCCCCTACATTTGCCAGCTGGGCCCCATGTCCCTGTTCTACAACTGCTCTGGAGGCCACCTGCTGGGGAGCTGCTCAAACACGGGCCTGTGGGGGAATGTTTCACAGTCAGATTGTAACACCCAGGTAGTCCGGCTCAGAGCACCGGCCTCCAACACCGCCACCGTGGTGATTCTGAGGCCTGGCCTGGGACTGTTGCTGCCATCCGTGTCCACTGTGTTTGTGCGTAGACTTCTTGCTCACATGGCGTCCTCGTCAGGTGTAGACGTCACAAAACTCAGAATGCTCGCCGGTTCCCTGCGTCCATTTCAAAGGAGTCTTGTGAACAAAGGAAGGGATAACGATGAGACAGACCGTGTAAAAATGTCCCTGGGACGGCCTACTGCCTCCTAGCAGAGCAAGGAAGGGAACCAGGTCTGTCTACCCCTCAGTGTCCATTAGACAGGAGTGATATTTTTTCACCTGCCTTCCTTGGCTTTGGTTCAGTGATTTTTTTTTTAGAGTCATTTAGGGAAAGCTGGAACTCATTTGATGTCAAATTGCTCAGTATTTTATTGGTATCTCAGAGTCGTGGTTAGATGAAGAGAATTCATTGTAGACTCAGGCTGACTACGCGTTTTATTTATTTATTTTTTTCAAAGCTATCATGAAAGATCAACTTAACCTTTGGATCCTGGAGATGATTGAGGCCAATGCAACTTGGTCAGAACAAAACCAACAATGTTTGCTGTTGAGTTTCATTTTTTAACACTTGTTCTTGTAAATTGAAAGCCTGATGCAGGGCCACTCAGAAATTGGCCTAATTAAGTCATGTTTAAATTAAGGTAATTCCATATAGGTTGCACGAACAAGTTATATATTTTTTTCCTCATTATGAAATTTTCTTGCATAACAATTCAGAGAAGATTCGTTTTGCCTAGAACTCTAGATTTACATGTTCACTTCTTAAAATGACTAAAATACAGACACTGAAGTGTTGTAGGAAAACAGACACTACCATAAATGTAGACAGGAACTATTTACAGGCTATGGTGACATCCTATAGAGCAGTTTAGCATCCATATTTGATTCTCTGTCAGTCTCGGCAGACATTTATGGAGGCCTGCCCTAGATCCACGTCACCAGATTTGTCTGATAAGGTCTGATGGCTTAGGTGGATTCTCTGGGCTGAATTATATTGAGAATAAGTTGTTGACTGTTTCAGTAGGCTGACCTCTGGCTGTGCCTAGCCACACTCTCCATCAGCAGATCAACCTATTGATTAACTGTTGAGTCTATTTTTAAGTTTCAACTTTGGCCGGGCAGTGATTGAAATGGATTTATTTATTTATTTATTTTTTGCAAGCAAGCAACAAAGCGGATTATAGAGGCACACACCTTAGAAAAACTATTAGGTAATTTTGAAACCTTTTTTTTTTTTTAAATTCAGAAAGTTAAGCGAATGCTACTTTTCATATAAACATCTGTATCTGAGTAGTTGCGCGATGAAATTCTCTAGTTGTTGACCTTTAAATGTGCATTGGTAAATGTCAATTTTCTAAAAATATCACTAAGATATACAAGGTTAAAGTTACAAAACTCATGAAACCAGCTTAAAAATTAAGTAATCTTTATTTGATTTAGTGTGAGTCTAGCTTTAATAAGAATTGGTATTAGAAAGTAGGCCATTTTTATTTTAACAGGAGAGAACGTTCCTTAAATCCTGGAGGAAACGTTTAACATTTGGGTCACTTGTCCTAATAATATTGGGCTTGTAGATTTGATACTGATCAAGAACTTACAAGTGTACTTCTGGTCAGAGGCTTTAAAAACTGATTTCAGAGAATCAGTCTTTAATCTTTAAAAACTAACCTTCCCCCATCCACATTTTTTATTCAATTCCACATAACACTCTTTTTGCTATATTTTCTTTAATATTTTATTCATATAATTGAAGGTTTTTCTTACGTGAATAATGAAATTCTTAAAGTGGTTTTGGGCAGATGAAATTAATGAACACAGTTGCTTTAAAAAATGGGATGTGTGCAGCATTCAGACGTCTTATTGTTGTAAAGATTTAGATGGTATTGTGTGATAGACACCTCCATCCTTCTCCTACACCACCTCTAGCTGTGGTTACACTGAGTTCTTATTCTTTCTAAACGCTGGCCTGTATAGCTAGGTCATGATAGGCAGATGACTTTCAAGCCTGGTCCTGTCTATTCTACTTTCATAACAACGGTAGTTAGTGATAGTTGTATATGGCAGATAATGGCCATCTCCTACAAGCCATTTGGAAGTAGGTGAACAGTTGGAGCACATGATCGAAACTCTCTCAGCACAGAATCTCTTCTCTGACCGGATGACCCCGTTCACATTGTCTGGGGTTCAGGGGCCACGTCGGAGACTTGTGCTTCATTCCCTCAGAAGTACAGGACAATCTGTGGCCATCCCACATTTTCCCCTGTGAGACTGTAAAGGAGACATTATAGAGTAGAGGTCGCCTGAAAGGTTTGCTGGACAAGCTCCGTGTTTAGCCTTGGGTCGTCTCTCTCCACCCCTGTCCGGGTCTCACCTGCTGACCAAAGCTAGGGCCTCGTGTGTACCAGGCAAGCACTCTTTCAAGATGGGGCTTCTCCTGCCTTTCCTACTTTCTCTCTTCCTCCTCCTAAGTCTGCCCGATGCCCACAACTAACATGGTCAGAAGGCTGAGGCTGGAAGCTCGTGAGTTGGAGGCTAGCCTGGGATACTTAGTACAACCCTGACTCAAAAAGCTAATTCTCTCTCTCTCTCTCTCTCTCTCTCTCTCTCTCTCTCTCTCTCTCTCTCTCTCTCAAATGACAAAAATCAAATAGCTGAGGTGCAAAATGGAGAAAGATGTAGTCCAATCCAATGGGGGCACATTTTATAGAATTGGTTAAGTAAGTGCTATTTATTTTTTAAAAACCAGTGAGATAGTGGATGTATGAAGGGCAAAGGGCAGGAAGTGGCCTGTCAGCTTTTCCCAGAGCTGAGCTGACCTCATCTGTGGCCACTTTGTGTCTCCCTTTTAGAGGAGGATGTGGAGAAATGGCAGAGCTCCAGAAAACGAGAAAAAATGTAATTAGGGCATAGAAAATAAGGGATGCGAGGAAAGGCCCAGAGCTGTTAGGCCTATTTGCTTAGAGAAAAGAGGGTCCGACTGATCTGAAGGGTTGCTATAAGACAGACACTGGTTCTTTCCTGTCTCCACAAACACCAGAGACGGAGCTCCCTGTGGGGGCCGGGAGGACAGTTGGGGCTGTGAGAATTGTCAAGAAGGCGGTTCCCAAGGCTCGCACTGGCACATGGAATCGAGAAAGCGTTAATGTAGAGCCACGGTGCAGCTACTCGCTCATATTCACCTGCCGGGGGGTGAGCTGGAGCGGGGTTCTCAGCCACTGGCTTTGGCGTTACCCCGGCGCCCACCTTCTTATTGTCTGTTTAGCTGTTTACTAGTCAAGGGTAAAAATCAACAAGTAAGTTAGTTAGAAGGTGTAAGCGCAAGTTAGGATCACTCAGCGCTTTCTGAGACGGGCTTACGTTAGACTGGTTTTGGTTAATCCCTCCGTATGATCACCGCACTCTTTGAGGCTGTTTTTCATTCGTTCATCTCAAGAGCTGGGTTGTGACTTTCGGGAGGAGGCCGATGAGCCCCAGCCCTGTTGGATGACTGCGTAGTGAGGTTGTAGAGATCTGCATCATCGCGGGGCTTCCTGCCTTTTGGTTTGGCTCTTTGGCGACGGGAAAAGAAGGTGGAGTCACACAGAGGTTATTAGGGGGCCTGAGCCCAGGGCGTGGTGGTGTCCAAGTCCGAGGAGAGAAGTGCGTCTGTTTCTGTAAAGAGTCGATGATTGACATTTCACACTCTCCTAACGACGTGCTGGTGGCCAACTAGTGTGGATCGCCTCCTCTGTTGCTAAGTGAGGGCACACTCGGTGAGAAGAAGACTCAAAGAACTTTATCTGCCATGTTCCTCGTCTTTCTTTCATCCTTTCTGTTATCATTACCACTGGTAATTAATGTAGTTAATTCTAACTACATTAGGTATATAGAATGTGTCTTGGGATTTTTCTGTGTTGGTATATGCAGCTCGCTTCCTTAAAAAAAAACAAAAAACCCTAAAATATTTCTTTTAAAATTCCTTCGCACATACATATTATTGTATTTTTATCATTTATCAGTATTTAAAATCGATGAGGATAACAGAAGTCAGAAGAGGAGTTAGCTCTGACCGGGCCATGTGGAAGGAATCTTCCGGGGTGCCGAGGTGCAAACGTCTGTATCCCACACTAAGAAATAGTCTGTAGTTGACCCTGAGAAGTGATTAACTGGTAGCATGGACATACTTAAAAGTCTCGTTTGTGGCCTGGAGGGATGGTTCAGGGAGTAAAGGCACTTGTCACCAACTCAACTATCTGGACCTAGGACCCACATGAGTGAGAGGAGAAGAGGCTCCTACAAGCTGTCCTCTGACCTCCATACATACACAGCGGCACACGCTTGTGGGTGCATACATGCACATACACACACCATGAAATTTAATAAGATATCATTAAAAACGTGTGTATTCTACATACTTTATTAGGTGCACAAGTTTAAAAGAGCACGTTAAAATCTTTATAGTTTAAGTATCTTATGTTTGTATTTCTGAGAAATGGGGCAGGAAATACAGCAGAGGACAGCAGGGAAGGAAAGGCGGTAACATTGTTTCCAAACCACTCTTACCTGGTAAGCATACAGTATAATTTCTCTGTGAAGAGGATATGCTTATTTCATTTTTCCTTGTGAGGAGACAGATACCACAGGGTAAGTAAATCCCCCACATACACACACACACACACACACACACACACACACACACACACACACACACACGGCCACTTTGAAGTTCTGAGTTCAATTCAGAGAAGAGACCGATTCAGCGAGAGCCAAGTTCGGGCTGAGAGTATTGCTCAAGCTCACGTTCCTGTTCCTGCTAAGTGGTAAACCCATGGGTCTCCTCGCTGGATGCTCTATTGTGCCAAACCTACTTCCTTTCTACTTAATTCTGTAAGTATTTAATAAGCTATTTAAAAAAAAATACTGGAATATGCATTAAAAATGAGAATCTACTGGGGAAACTTGTAGAAATTTTAGACATTTAACATTCACAAAAAGCTGAACTAAACTACATGAGAGTCTGGGAACATCTTCTAAATTGGCCCCAGAACAACTAGAAAATTATATGTTTTTGTAGAAAATGATGAGATTTTTCTTTCTTTTCTTTCTTTGTTTTTCAAGACAAGGTTTCTCTGCGAAGCAGTCCTGGCTGTCCTGGATCTCACTCTACAGACCAGGCTGGCCTCAAACTCACAGAGATCCACCTGGCTCTGTCTCTCGAGTGCTGGGATTAAAGGTGTGTGCCACCACTGCCCTGTTAGGTTTCTAATGTCACAAGTATATATAAGAGCTATGGACTATCCTCGTTTTGCTCAAGTTGACAAGGTTCTGGGACAATTTAAGAATTATACAAATCTCAATATCTATTCCTATGATTTTGGTTAAAGACAGGCCTTTCTTTCTTTCTTTCTTTCTTTCTTTCTTTCTTTCTTTTTTTTTGATATTTTCTCCTCAACTTAATTCATTAAAAATTCAAGTTATCTCTTTTCTACTTTCTGTTTTTTAAATTTTTATTTGTGTTGTGATTTCTGTGTATGTGTTTATCTGTTTGAGTGAGTGTTGTGTGTGCAGGTGTCTGAAGAAGCCAGAAGAGGGTGTCAGAGCCCCTGCCTGGAGTTACAGGTGGTGGGGAATCACCCAGCATGGGTGTTGGTATTGAACTCAGGTCCTCTGCTACACTAGTAATTGCTGTTAACTACAGAGCCATCTCTCCAGCAACATTTTAAATTAAAACAGCAACAATAACAACAAAACCACTCTTTTTTTCTATCCTTCTGCCACTGAGAATTTTTTCCTACTTTCTATTACTGAGTCATATATGTTTTCATTGCAACTCTGCACTTGGTATGGGATTTGTTGGATTTGCATCCTCACGATTTTTTAGAAACAGATAATTGTTCAGTAATGATAGGAATTCAGCAAGCACACACACACACACACACACACACACACACACACACACACACACTCCTGACATAGTCAGTTCATTCCTATCATGGAATAATTCTTCTCCGAATGGTAATCTGTTCAGTATCATCATAGCTTTCCAACCCTCCAGAGCACATGTGTGTCCTAGAAACGAAAATACCTTAGACTATCGGCCACGGAAGGCGCTATGTTTTTAAACCAGGAAACAAAATTTCAGGGCACTTTATTTCTTTACATTCTTGAGTCTGTGCCACCTATTTCTTTGGTTGAATTAGTTTCGGAGTTTGGTTAGAATTCCTGTAAAATG